CCCCTCTACTCTCTCTGAAAAAGCAATGGAAAGGTATTCTCAAGTGAGGATTGAAAAAATAAATAAAACAATGGAAAGAAATTTCAAAAACTATTCAATAGAATTACACCATAAACAAAATACTTGTAACTTTGCTCTATTACAAATTCTAATTATAGGATTCCAATAATACTGGGGTTTTTTTTTCTTTTGTCTCAATCCATTCAAAGTTGTAAAACTACCTTATTCTTTTAAATAGTTGCACTATTTTCCACAGTATAAAGTTTCATAATCATTTACATGTTGAGGGACATTTAAATTGTTTCCTTATATTCCTTATGGGTTTTTTTAAAATATATTACAAACAATACAAAAACATTGGGTGAAAAAATTCAGTGAGGTAAAAGAAAATAAGAACAGAAACTGGAGGTGGGTTAAGGTTGAAGAAAAAATGCAACATGATGGTAAAAAAATAATTCCCAGTATATCAATTATAACAAAGATAATAAAAGTTTCCTAAAAACAAACAAACAAAAAAACCAACCTCTCACTATGTGCTCGGTTCTCAGGACACAGAAACAACACAAGGTCCCAGCTCTTCTAGAGCTCACATGGTAGGGGGATTGTAAGAATACTGAAAATTGTTTCTATGAATGAATTTCATGATATGATTCAGTGAAAAATGAGAAAGATCTTACCTTACTTATCAAATGGATTATCTCTCCCTCTTTAAAAGTAAGTTCATCTTCATTAGAACCTTCATAGGCAAATAACGTTCTACAATATTCCTTAGCTAAAATAAAGAATGTAAATAATGTAGCTTATATAAATTGACTGTTTCAACAAAGTTACTAAATCTCTATGTAGTGCCAAGAAATGTACACTAGAAGCTATTAAAATGAATTTAATAATTTCAGCCAATACTATATGTGGAATTAAGTAACAATTTCACTGATCATTCATTCAACTACTTACTAAGCTCCTGCTATGCTCCCAGCACATTCTAACTGTGGGAGTGAAACATCAGTGCACAAAACATATTAAAATCCTCGACCTCATGGTGCCTATATCTAGCAGAATTTAATACTCTGACCAAGTAGTACAGTGTTGACAAATGTCTTCAACAAATCTAATAATATATTTGAGCACGTTTCATTCCTAGTATGAGAGTTTTATTGAAACACTCACCTTTAGTTTTACCTTCAGTGTCTGTTTTTGTTATCTCCATGTTCTGAGTTCTGGATCCTAGTGACTGTAGGATCGAGGGCTACAACAGAAAAGGATGAGATTAACTATTTTTTTGTTGTTGTTAATCCTCACCTGAGGATATTTTTTCTACTGCTTTTCAGGGAGAGTGGAAGGGAGGGCGGGGTGAGAGAGATCAATGTGAGAGAGACACATCAACTGGTTGCCTCCCGCATGTGCCCCGACCAGGGACTGGGAGTGAACCCGAAAACCCAGGTACATGCCCTTGATGGGGAATCAAGCTGGTGACCCACCCTTTGGAGCTCGAGCCAATGCTCTAACCACTTAGCCACACCGGCCATGGTGAGATCAACTATTTTAAGTTAGAATAAACATAATACTGTTAAACAAATTTTCCATTTACAGTTACACAGCTTTCCCTAGTGGTACTTACAGCCAGGTTAGAAATATTAAAAACTATGCCATGAAAAAGAGAACGCTCTCAAAGGTGACTTAAATGATAGCTCAGAACCTCTAACTTTTAAAACTTCCTGGTTGTATGATTAAAAAAATACTATGATACTCACAATGCAGTATCCTAACTTTAGAACCTCTAAAATTAGGGATAGCATTTAGAAACTTACTATGGATCAATCCCTGAGCTAAGCACTCTACATTCATTATAACTAATCTGCAGAACCCCCTGCATAAGGTAGGCACTCCTCCTATAGACAAGGAAACAGATATATAATTTGACCATGATCAGAGTAATTTAGTAGAACCCAGGTTGAAACCTAGAAAATATGACACCAGAATGTCAGTATGCTCTTAGACAACATCACTAATCTTCCTTACAGTGAGACAGAGAAAAAAGTCTCAATACTTCATTGCTGCTATAGAAATGAAAATACTATTAATGTCATTATCAGTATAGTCTTATTAAAACTATAGTCTAGTAGACAATTTTCCACTATATTTTACTGCAGTTAAGTCCTTCACTGCTTCCTTGAGTCCTATCCCCAGAAATAACACTCTATTTGACCTTAGACTTAACTGCTTAGTTAAAAATCTGAACATACCACTAACTTATCTATCACTGTATGTTCTGTTTAACTTTTTTTAAAATCTTCACCCAAGAATACGTGTATTGATTTAGGAAAGAGGGAAGGGGGGAGAGAAAGAGAGAGAGAGAGACATCAATCTGAGAAAAATTTTGATTGGTTCACCCCGACCCAGGATGGAACCCTCAACCTAGGTATGTGCCCTGACTGGGAATCAAATCAACAACCTTCTGGAGTAGGGGATGATGCTCTAACCAACTGAGCGACCTGGCCAGGGCTGTTGTGTTTAAATTTTAAGATACTCACTTTAATTCCTCCCAATTCTAACAAGCGTATCTTCCAACCCAGTGTCACCTACAAACATAGCAAATGCTCTCCCTACTTTATCAATTCCTAGATCAGTGATGAAAGCAAGCCTCGAAAGCCCATCATGTAGGGTGACCTTGAAACTACTATCATAATCACAACTCTGGAATAGTGGCCATTATAAATGGCAATGAAAAGGTTACTAGTGTAGGTGTCAACACACAGGCATGGACATCTGTCCAATATCATCCATTTGTGCTCTTAAGATGAATGTGTGTCACTTTGTGAATTCCACCTCAAATGCAAAAAGAAATGGTGTCATGGAAATCACAAGCTGCAGGACAACACGAACTGTGTGATAACTGAGATAGAGGGGACAGAGGAGCCCCCCTTGTCAGGCGCAGACCAGACCTCCCAACTCCCAGGTGCCTCGTGCCTCCACGTGGAAAGATCCTTCCACCACTCAAGCATTGCCTCGAAATGGATGATTGTGATTCGATCCTTAGCCCTGCCCATGAAGCAATTCCTGGACAGTTGGCGCAGTTGTCCAACTGCTCTGGAGGCTTTTGGCAGAGCCAACCAGATCAGTCCTATGACCCACAGCAATGGCCTCCTGGTTTAGTGGCCTTGGTTCTGGCTTAAGCCATTCCCTAGAGAAAGTGGGCAGCAGTGTGGCTTCCTCACAGGACACATCTCTAACTTCACAAAAGAGGTGCTGAAGAAGGAATCAAAAAAAGAGGAAGAGACACCTGAGTCTAAAAGGAAGGAGGTTGAAGTCACTCAGGCAATGTTAAGAGCAGAGAATGAGAGACCTGAAACTCTCTGTAGTATCTAGAACAGAAGTATGACCATCAGAGCTTCAAATGAAACTGCAAACTGCTGCTTACTGACCTAGCCCACAGCAGAAAGACTTAGAGATCAAACTTCTGAGAGGAAGACAGACAGTGCTAAAGAATAAGCTGCAGTCAGCCACTCAGAAAATTCTGGAGCTGACCTTGTTCCATCAATCCTGCATCACCTCCACTGGATGATGACATCAACCCTCATGCTTCAACTTGCAATGGAGGTGACATGGACTTTCCTGACATGATTTCACCACAACAGGAAATAAACAAACTGTCAAAGTTGTAACACTTGAGGCTGAAGTTAGCCATTGGAGGTGTTTTGCTCAGCCTTTCACAGCAAACAGCTATGATCACCATGAATTCTACAAACTCCATCAAGTACCATCAAGAAATTTAAACAGAAGCAAAACAAATACACTGATGACCATCAACTTGAAATGGCAATATTGCAGAATGTTCACAAACAAAAAGTGGAAGAAATAAGATGTAGGTATCAAGATAAAATAAATGAATAAGAAGAAAAAAAATTGAACTTGGAAATCTTTTACAGCAGGGTGGCTCTGAAATCAGAGAAACTGATGCCTCTAAAATTAATGATATGCAAAAATCTATTCAAATTCTACAAACTGGGGGGGGGGGGGG